AAATTGTGAAACGAAATTCATACGCATAAATTAGTTGCTCGATGCCATTAAAATGCACTTGTGTCCATCTGTATTTATTTATAACAGCCTCAAGCGAATTGCTCACATCTGCCCACTTCTAAGTAATAAAACATGTGTCATTTGACAACAAATTTGTTATTCCCATATCGTAAAATACTTAGAATACACGACAACTGTTTTACAGCTGTCTATAAAAAACAATAAATATGCAAGTTGCAGAATCACTTATTATTAATGCGTATGTTGATACATTTAAAACCACAATACTATTATTCTAAGACATGTAACAATATTAGATTAAATAAACTTTAGTAAATATAGGATTTTGTGATAATAAAGGCGGCGACACACCGGGGCGGATAACATGTCGTGCGGCGCGCGCGTTTGTGCGGACTCTCATTAGCGCGGTAACGAGACGCGCGCAAGACGCAAACTACTAGCGATGGGCGATTGAGTTTAAATAAATAAATTAACACATATTAAAAAAGGATATTGAAAGCAGAAACATAGAATTTTAAAGATGCAATACGTATAATTTACAGCATAATTATTAATTCACGTAGACTATCTTAATATAGGCATTTAATTTATTTAAATAGGTTATCATCACTAGATGTCACAATTAATGTAAACTTGTTTAAACCGCTACAGCCTGTACTTTAAACCACGCTCCAGTCTATAAGCTTTTAATCAGTTGGCCCGCAGCCAAACGATCGGGCGTCAACCTCGCGACACGCGGGCGACACAGCTCGCACCATCACTCGTCAACGTTGCGATACGTCGCTGTGTGCTCGCTGCGTGCGCTGGTGTTCCACATCGCGGCACTTGAATGGAGGCTATGGATGTGCTGCAACTGAGATGCAGGATGAATCACTCTTACTACGCTGATATAGCAGTACAAAATATACAAACAAGTCAAACCTTCATAGAGACACGGAAAATGATAAAAATACCTTTATACTGCGGCACGTTTATCAAAGTACTTGAAATACTTTAGAACCAAATTATGGCATTATAAGCATACTCGTATAATTGGTGCGCATAATTGTCGCAACAGACCACATCAATGTGACAGTGACCTCCAACAATCAATTGCTTTCCCTCTGGCTCATAATTGTCATTAATAAAACGACATGCGCGTTCTTTATTTTCTTGGACTAAAAAACAAACACTATCCATGTCCATTGGACTACAATACAGGTTTCTTGACATGATCCGTCATTGTCAGTTGAAGTATGACTGATGGATACATTCCTTGGCAACGATCCCGTATCGAAGGCTAAAATAGCATTGATTTGCGGCAACGAACACGCGCTAACAAACAAGGCAAAACGACAAAACGTCGCGCACGTCCGGACCGTGCTGTATTAGTGTTACAGCTTCCACTGAACCGGAATAATCGCGACCACGTATGACAGGATGAGGTGCAGCCCCACTGTAAGCGACTTAGACTGCCTTTTTTATTCTTGTCTATATTAAAATTCAAGCCTAATTCAGTCTGATTAAGTAAGAAATTACTTAAAATGCTGTGTCAATTGTATATCCTTTTCTTTGGAATATTTCTACTCCTACGCTTGTAATTTCTTGGAACTAGAGATACGATGCTTATGTTGACTCAAAAAGCTTTACTAAAAATAGCGACCGTATACTTTTACTTGTACCTTTTACTTTTCGTAATAATAAACACTCGTGGTATTATTTTAAAGTGTAGTTTAACCTTTTAAAGATAATTATGTCATAATAGAAAGTAGTCTCTAAACGCAACGTAAATAGTTTTAGTTTATTCTGTGTTTGTTATCCCGAGAGTTTAAACTGATTAACGCATGTTATTAAAGTATAACTGTTGTGCGCTGTGTACTTTGGCCCACGTCTTCTACAAATAGTAGAGATAAACGCATTTTATTGTGTCTTTTATGTTAACATGAATTAAACCGGTATAATCTAATTGTTTCGGCTGTCTTAAATTATATTAATTACAGCTTATTCATACATTATAAAATAAGTACACTTTCATTTCAAAATTTTACCAATAAAAATGGTTTCGAAGCCTAAATGTTATGGTTTAAAACGGAAACCCTTGTTAATCTTGTATAGTACAGGATCCGAGCATCAAAACGAGCTCTTACCATTCAATAGATTTCACAATTAAACGCCTTGTTGATTGTGCGAACATCGATACCGATTGCCGGCTCTCGATCAATTGATACCGCGGTCGCTCGCTGCGATCGCACTAATGTGTGCGCGCCTTTATGTCCCCGCAGTGTGCGTTGTGCACCGCGAGTGCAATTTGCAATGTTCACCATTAGAGCACAGGCAAATGTTGCATATAGTATGTTTTACTGAAACTAGGACTTTTACAACACACGCATATTATGTAACCCAGTGAGCGACGTAAAGTTGCGAGCGAGCTTTACTTTTCCATATAAGCACTGCAAAACTATGCGGAAATGTTAATGTTTATGAGTATATGTTTTTTAGAACTAGTTTATTAGAATATCTAAAGAATTACTTTTTAAATATTACTAGAAAAGAGTGTTTTTATTGTACGTATAAAAGTCACCAAAACAACACAATTAATTAACAAACTTTTGTTTTCAACACTTGTGTCGATCCTTTCTCAGGCCTCGCGTCAAGACGCTGCAATACTTCCGAAACTTTTAAACTTTCAAAAAAAACACAAAGGTAGTCGCGTAGTGTTTTGAGAGTGACAAAAAGCGGGGCCGCGTCTTAGTTAAAATATTCTGTAAGAAGTAAAGACGGCATTGTGTGCTCTGTGCCGCGCCCGCCCTCACGTGCGCCGCTCCAACCTCCCGACTCTTCCTTACACTGGCTTTGCACTCTTTTAATTGCCCACTTCGTTTTGTGTATATTCTGCAATATTTATAATTTCTTTGAGAATGTTTTCTTTTAATTAACAATAAGTAAATCTTTTTCTAATGCTTTTTTTTTTCAAATAGTAAAATGTATTTATTATTAACGACTAAATCGTTAGAATAGTATTTGAAATAATCTTGATTAACCTAATTGCTGATTGTTTAGTTCAGTATGGCATACAACAGTGCTTGATGTCTCCTATCCTTGCTGTGTCTACTGTCATCGTGGACAAAGTCCATCAGAACATCATTGGTGTAACAAGACAATTGCTCGCTTCCTCGTGGCCTTTTTTATTCTTGCTAATATAATTGATAGATGTCTAAGAAACTTCTCACAACTTACTCGTAATTTAACACATTTCCACATTTTATGAGGACATTACCATTAGTAAATAACCTCAAGATTGGTTGGTGTATAGTGTACATTTAGTGGTTTTAACATTGACAAGATATTGTAGCCGCGTTGTAAAGTTGGCTGTAACCACAGTGACGGTTCTTCCGGCCCGTGTCGACGGCTTGTGTCGATGTGTCGGACACACCGACGCGTGTCGATAGCCCGTGTCGATGGCTCGTGTCGTTAAGAGCGCATTAGCCGGCGCTCCAACGAGTCGCGTCGCGGCGCCCTCTCCCACATATCGTGCTACGCAGATGGGACACATCATTTATTCGTAAAAATTGTATCATTTTTTCTTAAATAGCTAGGCCATTGTAGTAACTAGAACATAGTCATCAGTTTAGATAATCATTTTACAAATAAGTAGGTACGATGCTTCTCAGAAGCTGCACTACGTTAGGTATAGACTGACCGTACCGCGGCATTACATCTAATCATTGGTGTACATGCACCAAACGCTTGCTCGACCCAAAATAAATGGTAGTATTTAAGTTAAACTAAACTAATTCTATCCAACGTTCGACGAACCTCCGCACGGGAACTGAACGCGTTTTATTTGCCCCTTTTTATAGAGTACAGCTCCGATCTATTTGTTCAATGTATTTCGAGTAATTTGCTTTATTGCTGTCGTTAATTTTATTTGTTTCTTATTATACAACGATAAAGTTCTACAATTAGAAGTTAAAGGTCCAATAAAAGTTAGCTCTTTGTACACTGTTTATACTTATTCCTTTACTAGCTATTCCCATGTGACATCATCCGCATAAAATTATAAAAATTTAATTTTATTGTTCCCATTTGTCATATCAATTGCAAATGTCAAAATGACATGACATGATATCAGACCATGGCAACCATGCTTCCTTGATGTTGGCAACAACTTATGGTCTCTTTCCCACATTAGGGTTTTTGTCCAAAATATTTACCCCTGAGTTTAACGGCGTGAAAATATATAGCCTAAATCGGGATGTAATGTGATGATGTAAATGATGTAATGTAAATGATCGCGATGTAGGACATTTTATTAAAAAAAGAGTTATCGAAAATATTCTGTGATTGCTTATATCTTAGGCTTTATTATAATAGTATAGATAAATGTTAATGTTTGCACTTCAGTAATGTTAGAACATCACAACTCTACAGAATGAAAGTGAAATGCATCAACGAAGCCTCTCACCCAATAACACTTGAAAAGCGATTACTGATCGAATATAGCTTCCGTAAATCGAACGCGGGTTCGCCGGGCACCCCGGCTGCTACACCCGCCGCGCAATAAACAGTCTTATCACTATGCAGTAGATTACACATTTCTGTGTTATATGTTGTCGATGTCAGCTCACTATCGGCAAGATAAGTTATCAGAACAAAAGATTGTGAGAATGTGACGGAAGGATTGCCGCCACCAGTCACGGATTTTATATTTGGTTCGTGATTTTTATAACTCCAATGATACCTTTTCGTACCTGTTTAGGGTTATATAATATCCTACATTATGTTTGAAGAGTTACAGTTATGAGTCTTGTAAACATACTTCATACAATACTAATCTACAATGAATACCTGTGGGTTTTAAAACTTAACATTTTCAGACATAATAATACAAATTAGGCAGAGATTGTGAATATCGATTGGACATTTTTCTGACTTAACTTTATACGGTATCTATAAACATTAGTAAGATGTAGTTCTGATGTTGAATTATCTATTTTCAGATGCGGTTAGCTTAGAGCGCGCGATGTGTGCGGGCGTGCGGGACGTGTGGTGCGCGCTGGCAGCGCTGGCGGCGCTGAGCTGGCTGGCGGGCTGCGGCGCTCTGCAGCAGCCGCGCTGCGAGGAGATCACCATCCCGATGTGCCGCGGCATCGGCTACAACCTCACCTCCTTCCCCAACGCTCTCGACCACGACACGCAGGAGGAGGCCGGACTCGAGGTCGGTGCATTACCACGACTACCTCTAACTTTAATAGTTAATTTAACCTCAATAGTCAGATTTTATCTCCCTGTCCAGGTTCTATAAAAATTGCATATTTACATATGTTGATAATGTTGAAGAAATGTTCCGAAACTTATAAACTAAATTAAACATCATCAAATGTTATCAGTTTATTTGCGTGGAAACTATCTTATCTGTTATTATTCAACTTGAAGATTTGCCCCTGAACTCAATCCGCTTATAGACATGACACTATGGAGAAAAAATGCACGACACAATGAACATTCATTATTATTTTTTCGATTTGACGAAACATCGATAAGAATGTCATGTACAAATGATAATATCGTGTCTGTGTGCGTGTTACAGGTGCACCAGTACTGGCCGCTGGTGGAGATCAAGTGCTCGCCGGATCTGAAGTTCTTCCTATGCTCGGTGTACACGCCCATCTGCATCGAGGACTACGCCAAG